AAAGAACATTAGTGAAGTCTTCTAATCGTGCCCGCCCATTTCACAACCAAACGCTAATTTGGTATGAATGATGATGTGCGCGAGCCTTTAGGCATAGTGCCTGCGGACAGTGACTCTGTCACAATCCATTGCGAGCTTTGATGGCTCCTGTCAATATTTGGTACCCTTTCGAGCTCCGGATTTGCCTTCGTGTGATTTGATGAAGTTTTGGACCTGCCCAAAATGTGGTAATCCAATTGAATGACAAATCAGCAGAATGACAAGGCCACTTACACTATCGTTGCATAAAACGTAAGATTGTAGGTTTGTCTCACTGTTCTTGCGGGCAAATTCGTGACTGAACTGGTTTGTGAACTATAACTTATTCCAGCACAGGTTTAGCCAGTCCAGCCAGTCCAGCCAGTCCAGGACCACACTGACGCCATCAAGGCCCGGTCATTAATGCTATACTTGAAACCCAGCTTACGACTCTCAGAACTCGTGCATTGAACCTACCGGAACAGAGAGGTCAGCTTGTGGTTATGGGGGTGGTCAGCTTGGTACAGAGAGGTCAGTTGGTGCTGGCCGAGGTGGTCAGCCTGGTACAGAGAGGTCAGTTGGTGCTGGTCGAGGTGGTCAGCCTGGTACAGAGAGGTCAGTTGGTGCTGGTCGAGGTGGTCAGCCTGGCACAGATAGGTTAGTTGGTGCTGGTCGAAGTGGTCAGCCTGGTACAGAGAGGTCAGTTGGTGCTGGTCGAGGTGGTCAGCCTGGTATACAGAGGTCAGTTGGTGCTGGTCGAGGTGGTCAGCCTGGTACAGAGAGGTCAGTTGGTGCTGGTCGAGGTGGTCAGCCTGGTACACAGAGGTCAGTTGGTGCTGGTCGAGGTGGTCAGCCTGGTACATAGAGGTCAGTTGGTGCTGGTCGAGGTGGTCAGCCTGGTATACAGAGGTCAGTTGGTGCTGGTCGAGGTGGTCAGCCTGGTACATAGAGGTCAGTTGGTGCTGGTCGAGGTGGTCAGCCTGGTACATAGAGGTCAGTTGGTGCTGGTCGAGGTGGTCAGCCTGGCACAGATAGGTCAGTTGGTGCTGGTCGAAGTGGTCAGCCTGGTACAGAGAGGTCAGTTGGTGCTGGTCGAGGTGGTCAGCCTGGTATACAGAGGTCAGTTGGTGCTGGTCGAGGTGGTCAGCCTGGTACATAGAGGTCAGTTGGTGCTGGTCGAGGTGGTCAGCCTGGCACGGATAGGTCAGTTGGTGCTGGTCGAAGTGGTCAGCCTGGTACAGAGAGGTCAGTTGGTGCTGGTCGAGGTGGTCAGCCTGGTACACAGAGGTCAGTTGGTGCTGGTCGAGGTGGTCAGCCTGGTACAGAGAGGTCAGTTGGTGCTGGTCGAGGTTGTCAGCCTGGCACAGAGAGGTCAGTTGGTGCTGGTCGAGGTGGTCAGCCTGACACAGTTTGGCCGTGTCGTGACCTGACGGCCTGATCCAGTGCCTATCGGACTCTGAACTGGAATTGCACTTCTTGCGTGTTCGCTGCATAACGCGAGGAGTAAGCTTTGCTTAGCGTGTATTACGAGCCCACATCCGGTCATGCGAGCCGTTGGAATGCATTTGTGTGAGAAAAACGATGCGATGAATGTTGGACCATTTGACGTTGAGAATGGCACGGCAAGTCCTCGCGGATCGACTGAAGCATGAATTGTGCAAACCACTCGTGTTAACGAGCCTAAGACGCCCGAACAAAGCTGCGAGTAGCGCAATGCGATTACGTTTTATGTTGTTGAGTTAGCCCCATAGTTTCATTCTCCAGAGGATGAAAATTGAGGTCACTGGCCTGTGCTTTTGCAATGACGCCCCAGTCCAAGATATAAACGAATTAGCAGATGGATGTAGATAGATAGATCACAATTTTAGTCGGTAGATGTCGGCAATATTACCGTGAGACCAAGACCTCCAGATGGCCTGCGTGCAGAAATGTTTAAGTGCTGCAGACGCCGTGTTATGCTCCATACGGCCTCGATAAGCAGTGGCAGTGCTGCAGACGCCGTGTTATGCTCCATACGGTCCCGATAAGCAGTGGCAGTGCTGCAGACGCTGTGTTCTGCTCCACATGGTCCCGATAAGCAGTGGCAGTGCTGCAGACGCCGTGTTATGCTCCATACGGTCCCGATAAGCAGTGGCAGTGCTGCAGACGCTGTGTTCTGCTCCATACGGTCCCGATAAGCAGTGCAGTGCTGCAGACGCCGTGTTATGCTCCATACGGTCCCGATAAGCAGGGGCAGTGCAGACGCCGTGTTATGCTCCATACGGTCCCGATAAGCAGTGGCAGTGCTGCAGACGTCGCGTTCTGCTCCACATGGTCCCGATAAGCAATGGCAGTGCTGCAGACGCCGTGTTATGCTCCACACGGTCCCGATAAGCAGTGGCAGCGCTGCAGACGCCGTGTTATGCTCCATACGGTCTCAATAAGCAGTGGCAGTGCTGCAGACACCGTGTTCTGCTCCACACGGTCCCGATAAGCAGTGGCAGCGCTGCAGACGTCGTGTTATGCTTCATACAGTCCCAATAAGCGGTGGCAGTGCTGCAGACGCCGTGTTATGCTCCATACGGTCCCGATAAGCAGTGGCAGTGCAGACGCCGTGTTCTGCTCCATACGTTCCCAATAAGCAGTGACAGTGTTGCAGACGCCGTGTTCTGCTCCATACGGTCCCGATAAGCAGTGGCGCTCCAGAGTTCCGTTCTGAAGAAGCGTCCGCCTGAGGAGCGCCGCGTGGCTGCGTGACCCCTTCCTGTTAGGGGTGCAAGACCCCGTATCCCATCCTCGGGGTAGACTGAAGATTGTAGTGTGTACACCGTTTAAAATGCAATTTAGAAACTGGGATGACTACCCAACCATCCTGACTCAATCAACACAATGTTGGCGTAGTCACAATTATAAAACCTACCTGTGGTGGCCGAGGCGTAATGGTGGTGGTGGTGGGGAGGGGGGGGGGAGGGGGTTAAGCGGTACCTTCCAGGTGGTGGGCAGATGGAATCTTCGCGAAGCCCTGTCCTCTTTCGAAATCCGGTCTCGGACATATTCTAGATTACCCGATGGGAAATGCGTAATTCCTGTCAGGTAAAATCGGGGTGCACACAGTGGGGACCGGGGTCCCCCCCCCCCTCCATGTTCGCAGTTTTTCTGCCATTGACGGCTCTGAACTGAATGTTGTGTTTTTCTCACATGTCTTCATGCGATTTACACGCCACTGACCTAAATGGTGTTCCAAGTTATTGATGGTTAATATACCGTCTTTGTGCGAAGCAGTTCCGATGTTAGGTTTCCTAAGAGTTGATGGAATTCGTATTGTTTTGTTTTTTGCCCAAAAGATGACAGAAAAATGGCTTGAATGTAGGGCTCTTCTTCAGTTTTGTGTAATGACCGTGATCGCATTGTATTCATAGGTATGGTGAAATAAGCTAGACGTCGATTCACGATGCTTCATCCCACATGTTTTGCTTGTAGCCGCTGTCACTATGACAAATTTTGGATCCGTGAAGTTGTTGGCTGATATATTATTCCATTGTTATTCGTTTGCGATCACTTTCAAGCCAAATCGTCAAAAGGACTAGGAGATCTCTGACGATACCTAGATAGTCCCGTCACGAAATCACCATCCCCCGTATTTGCAAAGAAATAGGCCTAAAAAAAAATCAGGAAAATATCATACGCACGACCCTCGCCGAAGTAGCCGGCCGGTTGCATCCTGGGGTTTTACACTGTGCGGAAGAGATAATTGCGGGTTTCAGTTAAATTGTTGCGATGACAAGTTTCGATACACGGTGAAAATAAGTTCAGTTGACTGGGGATGGAGGGGTTCTGGAGAACGTAGTATTCCAAATCATAAAGTGAGCTTTTGGGTATAAATTTAAGAAGTACCTCTTGGTGCCACTCGGGTGCGTGCGCCTGGTCAACAATTATACTCGGGACACTTCATGTAATAGCGCGGTCGTGGCTGTAGTAACGCGGTCTTGTTGGCAACAGTCGCACGGCGCGTGCCGCAAAGTGGAACAGTAATTGCCGGAGGCTTCCTGCCGGCACGTTGCGCCATTGAGGGTGCCGCAAACGGCGCCCGTTCCTGCGGTCCGCACGCATTGGCGGCTGGCAGGTGATCTCTGGGATCAGTCACCGAGCTAATGACGGGCGAAGGCTGCCGCGAAGCGTTGGCTGCTGCTAAGCGTTGCTGCAGATGACTGGCGCTCTTCAGAAAGGTGGTCTGTTGAGCAAACGCCGTCTTGTTGCGTAAACGGCTGACGACAGGCACTACACCAGCCGGCGTGGGCAGTCGCGCTGCAGTGCTCTCCTGCATGTCACGGTATCGGTGGGTAAGCGTGCGAGGCACGCGGCTCTTATGTCAAGTTCAGCCAGTTCATTTAGTCATCATCCTGGCATGGGAATTAGTATTTGATAAGTCAGGGCGTAGCAAAAATTTCTTCTTTTTTTTTTGCTCTACAAGAAAGGAGCAGGGCAGGTTTGGAACCATCAGCTTGAAGGGTTTGGACGTGGAATAGCGTTGGATGCAGACTGGTCTCCGCCTATCGGTTTTTGGAATAGTTAGATTACCTAGGCGAGCGGGGTTTAGCAGTTGGCCATCATCGGCATACGTCCGTAAGGTGCGTAGGAAGGCAAGCCTTTTGTGGGGATACTATAGAGGATTGGGCGGAGGACCACTGACCGATAGGGTATTTCTCGAACCGTCTGAAGTTGATGCGGTACCACTTCAGCTTGGCCAGGAGGACGTCATAATTGGCTCAATCGAATTCACTACTGAGATCATTGGACTTGACAGCATCAACATCTCTAACGTCAGGGCGGCGCGTGATCCTGCTGATAGCATCGAGTGGATCATTGAATCGTGCTTCGGGTCTGTCCTCGGCGCGGCACCGGCCCGTGTTACCTGGCGGTGCTGTGCTCCTCCTCGGAGCGACCGTGGTGCGGCATCCCAGCGCCCGTCGCTGCTGTTATGCTGCTGTGCTCTCTCTCCTCAGACTGGGCCTGGTTCGGCGTCACACTGGTGTGCGTCACGGCGGCCATGCTGTGCAAAGAGCAGGGCATCACCGTCATCGGGGTCTGCGCCATGTACGAGGTCTTTGTTGTCAGAAAGGTGAGTCCTTCAGCAGCACTCCGAGGGCAGCAGATTTCGTGCTGCTTGTGAAAGTCACGTGAAGAGGCAGCATAGCAGGGATGTCCGGCAATGCTGTCCCAAAGTATGTAACTTCTTGCCAAAAACAATACCACTGTTCCAATCGCTGGCGTGATGCATTGATCAGGGGTTGGCTATGCGTGGCTGCTTTTCATGTTACGGGTGATACCTTTTGACAAAACGAGTTAGTGAAGTGGCAGTTTACAGGCATCACTTTGCTATGAACCTGTTGGTTGCATCGCGTAAAATGCTCGCATCAAGAATGTTTATTGTCACGCAGACTCACCAATCGTCGTTGCCAAAGACCAACTTCGGTGGAGCGCTGAAGTTATGCTGAGCACGGTCGTGGCGCGGCCAAACGCGTGGTGGTGGCTCTGCTATCCAGCAGAAGTGTTCGTACACGGCTCGTCAAACGGGGCCGGCCGGCTGGTGGCGTGATGGTGTCAGCCTGGTTACACGGCGGCCGAGAGTCGTGTAGTCGCGTGGCACGGTAAAGGTCCTTTCGCGCTATTACAATAATGTGATGGTAGGTTCCTGGTGCCAGCAACAAATTATGTCCAGCACGCAATCCGATGCAAAATCTGCGAAGCTGGGAATACTGGCCCGCGAATCGGAACTTACGATGCGGCGCCAAAAAGGAAGGCATTCAGTTCCTGGACCGTTTTCTCATGAGATAACACAGCAGAGAGTTTTGTCTCTCAAGTAAAGCAATGGTAACTTTATTACGCACCATGAATGGCAGACAATATGTCGCATAGCATAAGACGTCTCCGCGGGCCGGTGAATTGGTGACGTCAATGTAATGATTACCTTGCGAGAAAAAGTCTGGGAATTCGTTTAACCGACAAACAAAAGCTTTAAAATGGCTTAACCCCAATACTTGAAGTTACCCCTGATTTGAGCTAAATAGTTTTGAGGTTACGGAGTCAAGTTGTCCCGCAGCACCTCCCATGGCCACGCAGCTGCGCTGAACGATGATAACAGTCTTTGTATGATGGTCAGCTTTTCCCACACGTTTGCAACATTCATGTTGCCAGAAAACATACTACGCTTGCTGCTATGTTGCGTTTGTATTGCTGAATGCGAACAAATTTATGCCTGTTTTTCCTTGTCACTTTTCCCAGGGAGGCCGAATGGGAGAGCAGCCTTGGGCGTGCGACAGATTCATGGTCCTTACATCATTCTTTTGGTCCATGCGTATGAGCGCTAATGTCCTGGGCTTGTGCAGGGAGTTTGGTGTTTTACACCGACGCGATAGCTTTGGTATGAACCAGTGTTATCTGAAATGCATGAAACGTAATCCACGCTAAATCATCTTCCACCGTAAGCCGCTGCATCTTGGACTCATCAAACTTGATGCGGCCTCTCCGCTTGACAAATTTCTGAACGTCCCAGCCCGATTTATTTGGCCATTTTCCGGGGATCGACTCGGCAATCGTGACGGATCGTGCGCTGCCGCCGACAGTGCCGACGACGGCGGGCCCGAGCCATGGCCAAACTCCCGCCATAGCTCCACTCTCCTGACGACGGTGCCGAGGCGCGCGCCCGGCTGTACTGACGACAGACCCGAGCCGCGGGCCGGTCTGTTCTGACGACAGACCCGAGCCACGGGCCGGTCTGTTCCGACGACAGACCCTGGCCGCGGGCTGGTCTGTTCTGACGACAGACCCGAGTCACGGGCTGGTCTGTTCTGACGACAGACCCGAGCCACCGGCCGGTATGTTCTGACGACAGACCCGAGCCACCGGCCGGTATCTTTTGACGACGGACCCTAGCCGCAGGCCGGTCTGTTCCGACGACAGACCCGAGCCGCGGGCTGGTCTGTTCTGACGACAGACCTGAGCCGTGGGCTGGTCTGTTCCGACGACGGACCCGAGCCATGGACCGGTATGTTCTGATGGCAGACCCGGGCCAAAGCTTAGCTGTTCCGAACACAGACCCTAGCAGCGGGTCCATCCGTTCCGTACGCTTACCGGGCGGCTAGCCGCCGCTGCCGGAGCCGGACCGGTCGGGCGGCGGGCGCCGACTGCCTCGCCATCCTTTCCGAGAGCCGCTGCCGCCGGACCGGCAGCTAACAGGCGTCGACGGCCCAGCCGGCATCAGCCCACCGGCCGGAAAATGGGCCGCTGGCCGAGCACGCGTCGCCGCCGACGGATGTCAATCAGCGCGATGCGACCTTTTGTCGGCGTGGCACGTGCCGTCGGCGCGGCGGCACATCCGGCGGCACCAAGCGTCCTCCTCTGTTGGATGAGCTTTGTGAGCACCGTTCCCATCGGATCGCGACCGCCAACGCCCGCTGACCTCCGCCGCTTGATGGCGTGACTGAGGGCAAAGGAACGGCCTCGATGCGTTAGTGGGCCAGCGAATTGGGTTCATTTGCAGTGATGGGAATGATGAGATGTGCGGAGAACGGCTCGAAGCGTCCTATTTCAGGATAAGATCGGAAAGTGCATTATCCAGTGCAGGTCATTTGCCCCACTGTAGGCGTCTAGCGGGGTGTCGACGCGCCGATAGTGCAGTGGTCAACACGTTTGCGCTAACCACTGTGCGTCTGGAAAACTGGAGGTACGGGGTTCGATTCCCCGCGGTGCCCGCCCTTCCTGCCAGGGTAAGAGGCAAGCGACGCCATAAAGCCTCAACAGCCGAGTGCGTCGTAAGGCCCCAATGACGGCGACGATGGTCTCTAGTGTTGCACGCCGTAGTTACGCCAAAGGCATTATACAACTCATTGCAATATTGCTAGTATCTACACGAAGAGCATTATAGCGGAATATCTCCATTCGAATTCCCTTGAGTGCCAACGGACATCTGTACTGTACGCGAATTTGAACTACAGTGCCAATTTTTTGACTGATATGCACGTGCACAAACATACACACATGACCGCCAAGAAATCCTATTTGCTGCATTTGAGGCAACGTTCTCCTGGGATTTAATCGAGTGGACTGTTTGCTAAGATGGACTTTACCAGCGCGTCACGGCAAACGCTACCAGAAGCGAAATTTCTAAATAGGGCTTACGAAGTTGAAATAATTTAATAGGTGGGGTGTTCACTGATGCTAATAGTGGCTTGAATAACCGCGCGTACGTTGCACTTGATTTAGGTTGCTGTTCTCCGGCTGATTGGGTGATGTCAGAACACCTGCCCTACGGATTCGAGCGTTTTCCCGCATTTAAAACGGCTGTCACATGCATCCAATTTAAGCGAAGGTGAAACTGGAGTCAAAACCTCGTTTGCTTGTAGGAAAGTACTCGGCATGGAAGAAAAATGCGATATATGTAAAAGAATAAAAAGCAAAGCGATGCAATACAAACACGGTGATGTGCAGGCATCTTGGGCATTGTTCACAAACGCAGCTTGTCTGCCGCGCCGTCATAGAACGAGACCGTTAGTGGTCATACTCCCGGGTAGGGCGGAGTGCGCCTGGTAGAGCTGAGAGCCTGGCCACTGCGGCCCTCAGTCGCAGTGCTAAGGGCCGGTGATCTGGCTCCCTGACCGAAAAGCAGCGCTAAGTTACCTAGCTCCCTGGCCCTTAAGTGGTGCTTGGTTATCTGGTTCCCTGACCCTAAAGCAGCGCTGGATTATCTGACTCGCTGAAGGCGGTTAACTGGCAACTGGTCGGGATGGGGGTGAGGAATGGGGTAGGGGTGTGGGGGGAGGGGCGGGGCTGGCATGGAGCGTGGTGTTCCAACGTGATGATTTGTTGCAGTGGCACATTGAAGCCTTAGGTCCAACTTGTCTGCTGGACTGGAATTCACCTGCAGGGGTGGTGGGGCCATTACACATGCAACGGGACCTTCTTACTGCTTACTGATCTCTAAGTAATCCATTAAAGCATGCGGTCAAACGAAAAGAAAGGATTAGCCAGGTAGGCTGGTATTTGTGGTGCTGGCGCTTCACATAGCAAAAGGGCTTGCCCATGTAGCACAGTTGTTTAAGCAAAAGTCGAATGGAAAAGGTTCAGCGAAACAGTGGAGCCGCAAAAAAGTCGACCGGCACAAGGTTTTAGTCGGAAAAAGTCGATGAAAGAGGTAAAGCAATAGACCCGTGAGAGCCATGAACGAGCGCCTAGTATTTGTGGAAATCCATTGACAAGGAGGACATAATATCTTATTCTGTTGTTTATGAAGCTACCAGTGAGAGCCGCGAAAGCATATTTTTTGTTCGCAAAAGAACCAGCCCGTACGGGGGATCAGGGTATTGTGTTTTTAAAACAATCCATTGGATCCAGCAACCAGCCGAAATCAAGGATTTACGATCTAGTTTTCAGAGTGGGAAAGTGGTAACCAGTATTCATCAAAGGGAGCCAGGTACGCGTCCGTCCAACGTCAGGACTAATGAAAAAGTAGATTCGCGACAGGCGCCGCCGCTATGGCCGCCTCCTGTCGTGGGTGCCTGTGCTGCCCGCGACCATCCCAGCCCACGGTTTGAAAGGGAATTGTCATAGACACATGTAGAGGTATAGGAAGAATGTACAATCCCCTCAGCCGATTGTCAACCTGCTGTCGTTCGGGCCTGTTCCGTATGGTTCTGTCGTGAAGGCTCGAAGGCTGGCTTAATGCCAGCAGCGTTTGCCGGATGAGTGAGGCGGGTCCAAATTAGAGGAGCTAGAGATGAAAGGAAGCGAAACCCGTCAAATCCCCTGGTCCATGAGAATGCAGTCGGCAACATCCCTTTTCAAGCCTGGCATTAAAACATTAAGGCTCTTATGCCTTACACCCCCCGAACTGTCCGTCTGCTTACTTATATTTCAAGAGACGTTTATCCACGTGAATCTGTTGTACGTGGAATTGTTTCCAATCCGACTTTAATTCCATCGAGTTGTATCTCTTACGCCTCGCCACCGATTCGACTTTTTCTTTGGTCGACTTCTTCTCTTTCCACATTTTGATTCGACTTTTTTGCCTGTCGACTTTCATTCCATTGGACTTTTTTCCTCCGACTTTTCCGCGTTGAATTCTATTTTTTCGGCTATCCATCTCGGGGAACTGGAGCAGCTGCGGCGTTTGATCCGATGACATTGGAAATCAGCGATTGTCTTCTATCTCTCACAACAGTATCAGGACCGTTGTCATGGCCTAACTCGGTCAAACTCTGTTCATCTTATATTATCCACGGACGGGCATTCCCTGTAAAAGACTCGCCCTTCGCTTTTTCGACTGTGACAGCCGTGTCAGGCGTCTTACATGCCACTGGCGCATCAGACACCATTCCTGACACGGTCTCCGAGCGTGACACCACATCCTCCGACGATGAGCGTGATCTGCCACGGACGTAATGAATTGCGGGTCATTTTGGTCTGCCGCCGCCGGCCGGTCGTGTTTCATCTGGTGCCGGCGGCGGTGCAGGCGGCGGCCGAGCGTGGATCCTGTCGGCCCGCTCGGCCGGTCGTCGTGGGCTCGTGGGCTCTGTCGTGCCGGTGGCCGGCCTGCCGCGGCCCCGGCGCCTCAGCTGCGGCCGTCGGTAGCGACCGCGCCGACACGTCCCATTACTGGCCGCCGGCGGGAGGAGAGGGCCCTGCGACAGTGTGTGGTGCGAAAACTCATTGAGAAGTGAGGCGCGAGGCTTATCAAGAGCAGCAGGAGAGACGAGGAGACGCTTTATATCTGTAGAATGTGTCATTGATATGCATTGCATTGTCAACCAGCTTATCATACCAGTATGACAATATTAGCTGCTGTGGTTATTTCCATCTATCATAAAGTTCTGAATGCGTCATAAATTTGCTGACTCATCCCATTCTGTGGCGCCTTCAGTGCCTAATGCCTTTCATCTGAATATTTATGGCGCATATCAACGAATTGAAAATAAACTTCCAGAAGCTATGCAAACGCCTATGCTTGCCAACGGCGTGTAATAACTGGCACTCCCTGTAAGCAACAGATGTATCCAACAGATGGCAGTAGTGACAGTCATCTTCTTGTTATGCTGTACCGTAGACGGGTATGCGTTGCGGGATAGTGGAGCAACCGTCCGAGGCGACTTTCTCTCGATGTGCAGTAAAGCAGCGAGAGCTGGGTGCCGTGGTAACGGCGGTCGGTAATGAGTGAATCGGCATGCGACCACCGTACGGCGGTGTCGGAGATAACAACATATCTTAGCTGTAACTGGTCGGGATGGGGTGCCTGCTGCGGTCCCCAGTACACCCAGTACCGTGTCGTGTTTCAGCTGCGGGTGGTCGAGATGGGGTACCTGCTGCGGTCGCCAGTACACCCAGTACCGTGTCGTGTTTCAGCTGCGGCTGGTCGGGATGGGGTACCTGCTGCGGTCGCCAGCACACCCAGTACCGTGTCGTGTTTCAGCTGCGGCTGGTCGGGCTGGAGTACCTGCTGCGGTCGCTGGTGAGCGGGAAGGCGCCGCCGCCCGGCTGGCTGCTGGCAGCCTCCTGCCGACTAACGGCACTGGCCACCGCGGCGCTCTGTCTGCTGGCCGCAAGAGTCCGCGTGATGGGGGCCCGGCTGCCGGCCTTCACCAGGTGAGCGTTCGGGCATCCCCCCAGGTCAGACCAAGGTCTGGGCCTGGCATTGGCAAGCGTGTGAGCTTTTGCCATTCAAGTTACGGTCTGGGTTGGGTGGCGCTGCAGCCAGAGCCACTGGCATTGCGTTCAATAGGGGGGTGAAAGGAGCTATTCGTATCGTTCGTAGTTATATACACATATGCATGCACATATATACACATACACATACAGTTTATCCAAAGAATTCGTAGCCAATAGGATTCATGTTTCAGGCGTTACCTCACGCACCTGTGTTACTATCCCAGTCGTGCAGTAAGTCGTGTGCCAGTCCCGCGCCGCGGCGAGTGGTGGATGCACTGGGTCCAACGCTCATCACCACGTGTGGTGGTTACCTGTCACTGGGTCCAACGCTCATCACCACGTGTGGTGGTTACCTGTCACTGGGTCCAACGCTCATCACCACGTGTGGTGGTTACCTGTCACTGGGTCCACGCTCATCACCACGTGTGGTAGTTACCTGTCATGTGATGGCTTATACTTTCTGATGGGTCGTAGCATTTATCATGAAAGGCCGTTTCATGTCTTCGCGTGACTTGATTAAAGGTTGTATGCGCTTGTTGTCCACCCATACTACGCAATTTAGATGAAAACGACACGTCCCTGTTTGCGCAACGTGAAATATGATTGCCGTTCCGCTTTCACCTGAGGCACAGTTAGTATGTGCTGTTTAGTTGGCTAAATAGTCTTTAATCAATGGCAGTAGGATAGGTAGTAAACACCTCGGCACTTACCAGACGTCTGACAATGGTCGTGGTTTCGCCATCCGCAAGAGGGACCAGCCTCAGATGTCATTGGCACCATTGATACAGCTGCTTGCGCCAGCTGCAGTCAACTCATTGCATGCGTAGATCACGGGTACAGTCATAAGTGCATGTGGTTGTAAATGTATTTTGTAATATATGACAGCTCCACATCGTGTAACGGAGCTTTCAGGGCCCCTAAGTGGCCTTAAGCAGCGCAATTGCGACATACGTTCAAGCACAAGCACACAAAGCTTGCAGAGGAGCCGCATTCGGGCGGGCGGTGGGCTTAACGGATGGCTTGCTATGTTGTAAATGAACCATAAGCCCGTTGCATCGTGCTGAATACCTCCAATGTGAAACTGTAATAAAGGTACCAGTCACCGGTAGGGGAAACAGGCTTTGATATGCTGGTTACTTAAAGCCATTGTTGCGCGGCGAAACGCTTCTGACAACAATAACGTATGGACTGGCACGAATATCACGAGTTGCCTCGGGAATCTTCCACATACCCACCTCCCAGCAGGAGGAAGGTGGTGCATACCAATGCCGACTCCGCAGAAAAACGAGGTATTGCGCATCTTTGTTGACTACGAGGTCGTTGTGAGTTCCACAGTGCTGGCATCAAGAAAATGCAATTTTTGGCAGGCGGAATTTATCCGATTTCTATAATGGGAGAAACAGTGGCGCCGGTAAAACTGGTCGGTTGTGACGCCGTTTAATGCGATATTGGTACCAGGGACATGCACTTCACTTACTGTCGCGACGCAACATCGTGTGGCAAGCCTCGTCATATTCGTGTCTGTTTTACAAGCGTCACGTTCGGCGCTATGCGATATCCCAAAGAGCTCGTCGGCTGCGTTGGTCATGTTAGCGCCCGTCGACCACAGCTGTATCCGGGTGTCGAACCCGAACTTCTCGGCTAACACCGATGGAGTCATCACGCATATTTGCACCATGAGAACGGCTGCTTTGCACATTCGCCAGTTTTGGATAGGTTAGCTTGGTTATTGGTACATGGAATAGAGTCCTTTCGACCAGAAATGATCATTTCATGACTATGGGATGAAGGAGAATGGATAACGGTGAGGCAGGACTACACGCACCTGGCAGGGGGCGAACCTCCGAGCCTTAACCCGGCGCAGGAACCTACTGTGGGGCTTACGTTGGGCACCCGGTCGATGTCCCACCCGAGGGGGCCTCTCGACCCGCTTGTAGCTGACGCATGCAGCCTGCCTGGCTAAAGGGGGCGTCGCGAGGTTTGAGGCTAGTAGGATAATAATGGATAATAGTGTGTATAATAGCGATTAGCATAATGGTAGAGTAGTGTGATAATAGTGATAACAGTGTATTAAATGATAAAGCGAGGAAGAGGATAAGGTGGTCGGATGTTTGCATAGGCGTGGCATGATCTCAATATATCCGGAAGCAAGACTGCTGCCGGCCTGCACACCGCCCACTCCCCAGCCAGCCGAGCAGGCGCCCCTGCAGCGGCGTGTTCTGTGGCCAGGTTCGACAACCCGGCGGCGGCGGCCGACTGGCCGGCTCGCCAGCTCACCTACACGTACCTGGTGGGCGTCAACGGCGGCCTGCTGCTGCTGCCGCACGGCCTCTGCTGCGACTGGACCATGGGCACCGTGCCGCTGGTGACATCTGTCGGCGACCCGCGCAACCTGACGGCGCTGGTGTTGCTGGCCGCGCTCGGCCGTCTGCTCCGGACGGCGCTCAGCTCGCGCCACCGTCGATCAGACGCCGTGCTCATGGTGAGCTGCGCCACGTGCGGCGGAGGCAGGCCTGTTCTGGCGCCGCTTCCGCACGGGACGTGTGGGCGGACATGTGCTGCATTGCAGGCGTGTACCGCACAGGTGATGATTCCCCGCCTGTGGGACCGGTGCTGCTATAAATGGAGACACCTACATCTTGACCGCGCTCTGCGTTGCCAGGCGCCGTCCATACCTATGACGTTGCAACTTATAACGTCATGGACAAGTGCGTCACTACAATTTCTACAAGTGTGTCACTACAATTTCTACAAGTGCGTCATTACAGTCTCTTCAAGTGTCACTACAGTTTCCACACCTTGGAGGATGATAGGCAGGTACTTCGCCAATGGACAACTTGGCCCTGCGGTGGGCTCGACGCAATGTTGTTGGTGGGGATGCCACACATGTGGTGGTCCAATGTAAGCAAAATCTGCGCGCCGCCCGCATCTTCTGGTCGCCTTTCTGCTCTGTCGCCAAACCTCGAGCCTACCCTGTCTCCAGGCGACCTCATCTGGTCTCCGCCACCGCTGAGCCTCCCCTGTCTCTCGTCTCTGTGTTCTGCTGTCGCACCGCTGAGCCTCCCCTGTTTGCAGGCCGTCTCGCTGCTGGTGATGCCGTACCTGCCGGCCAGCAACCTGTTCTTTCCGGTGGGGTTCGTGGTGGCGGAGCGTGTGCTCTACATGCCCTCCATGGGCTTCTGCCTGCTGGTCGCCGTCGGCTTCTGCCAGGCTCAGCGTCAGTGGTAAGCGTGCCCGGTGTCGCCAGCGCGACCTTGACCCGGCCGGGGTCGGTGGGTGTGCCGACGGTGCCATGCCGCTGCCACAGCCACGCTCGCCGGCTGGACCAGGCTCCATTTCAGCCGGCGCCGAACGCAGCACTCCCGCGGGAAATCTGCGCTCCTCTTCCGCCGCGGTCGGGGGTTAGATCGTCCGGAAATGTCATGCAGCGACCCCATTTCACTTCGCCAAACCTACTGCCGCCTGTTTGCAAGAACAAAAGTCTGTCAGCCGACGTGCGACCCGTTGATTGTCTTCCATGGTGTTTGGTGCTGAAATGAAAGGCAGTTAAGATGCCATACTGGAAATATGGGGTCCACCGCCATGTCTTATGAATCACCTCTCCCCATGGATGCTTCGTGTGGTCGGGTACCATTTCATTACTCTGTCAGCCAGAGAAGTTCCGGGAGGCAAGGATGGACGCAGGTCAAGTTACCGCTTATCGATGCAAAATAAAGTTAACCCAGGTCACCTTGCCTGACTGTGTCCGGTCTGATTCCCTTCCCGCTTCCCAAAAGCAGAAGGGCTATTTTTGAGCTGGTCCATCGCCGTTATTTGGTATAGCCCCCGTTTCATGTTTTTGATATAGCATGTGATCCGAATCTTATCTTTATCAACATTTGCAATATCTTTGGTACATAATTAACGCCAATGCATTGAAAGTATTGCATGTAATAATATAGCTTTGATAACTTGCGAATGAAAATTGACATATTCCGGTGCTTGCACGAAGAGACTAGGACGAGGTGGGAATATTTGTTCCTGAAACGGCGTCAGTCAGTAAAACAGAAATGTCCCGCACGAGAGTCCATTTCATTTTGGGCAAAGGGGCTATTTCAAGCAGTGCTTGTGAAGTGTTAAGCTCGGGGTATTTTACAACTGACAGTCCACAATGACCAGGTTTCAAAATTACGTCAGTTGTGAAGTGCATTTGCGAGGAACATGATGCATATAGATAAGACGGCAATCGGCAACATGCCTTTATAGACATGCTTTTACATCTTGGCAACATGCCAAGAGCAGTCACTTTTTGCTATTCTATTTTATTTACTACTGACACTCGTTTCGTTGAAGGTATGTTCCCGAGATATCAACGCATTTATATCTCCATTGCCATGGTTTTCTACTAGGAATAAAGCTGGTATTTCTATTACCTACCGTCTTATAATCAAGTTTCAGGAACTAACGATTTGAACATGTGCGTCACTTCAACGTTCACTCATAAAACCCATGCCGGTCGACACCGCACAAGCATCGTGCAGGCAGCAAAGAACGATTGCGTCATAGTGGTTCCATCGAACAAAAGGAGGCAAATCGCGGCCAATTGAGTGGCCGGGAGCAGAGCGGCGGGTCGGTTGGCCTCCGTCACCAGCTGCGGGTCCGGGCCGGCGTTACACCGCGACCCGGCGGCACAATGATGGAGCGTGCGCCATCTGTCGTGCCGACCCACCAGACCTCATAACCGGGCCAGCGCCCCGGACGGCCATCAAGACTAACGAGCAGATATTTACATTGACATTTCATCTGCGGCGTAGACGGCGGTTTCCGCGAATAGCCTCCAAGTAACAAACTCCGGTGGGGCGGCGGAGCGACCCGAATTTACGGCCAGTATTAATTACCGCCGCTCTTGTCTCTGGCAGCGGCTTTTCGGGCGAATGTGGCCGGTGCCGTGACGACCAGCCGGCGGCGGTACGCTGCGCCGGCCGAGGTCAGCTCCGCTGCCGCATCCGACCAATCGGTGACGACGGTGTCGCGTCGTTCAGTTTCGCTCGTGCCGCTGTTGTACCATCTGGTCTGGTTGTACCATCTCGTGCTTCGGTGACGCCAGCTGGTCTGGCGGTGTACGACACGGCCGGCCGGCCTCGGTAACGCCGGATGGTCTGGAGGTGTATGACACGGCCGGCCAGCCTCGGTGACCCCGGCTTATTAGGCGTTGTACGACACGGCCGACCGGCCTCGGCGACGCCGGCTAATCCGGCGGCGTACGACACGGCCGGCCAGTCTCGGTGACGCCGGCCGGTCCAGCGATGTACGACACGGCCGGCCAGCCTCCGTGTCGCCGGCTGGTCCGGCGGTGTACGACACGGCCCGCAAGCCTCGGTGACGCCGGCTGGTCTTGCGGTGTACGACACGGCCCGCGAGCCTCGGTGTCGCCGGCTGGTCCGGCGGTGTACGACACGGCCGGCCGCTGCGACTGGTTGGTAGGACGGAGTGAGGAACTGCCGACCGCAGCCGGTGCAATTCTGCTGCGGCAATTTACTTATCTCGGCGGCCTCAAAATCTTTATGGTGTTGTGAAGCTCTGTAGTCTCGGCTACAATTTGTCGCACACCAAATGCCGTTTGTGGACATCCAGTGGTCATGCATTAGCTGTTAAGGCCATTAAATTATATTCAAAGGCACTGGTTCCAACCAAAAGCTTCAAACGCTGGTTTTTGGCAGCATGTGGGGTTATATACGCTTACAACTGTCCCGGACACCATGGGCACAGTAAACACTGTGGTCGGTAGGATTCAGAAACGAGTAGGTTTTGAGAGCATTACTTTTGCGATTTAATTATTCGAAATGACGCCAAAGCAGAAGTGGATTACAATAACATGAAAAGCCTGGTTAGCTCATAGCATACCTCAATTTATCCCTTTTAAATATTCCGGGAGTGACAGTACTTTTTGACGGATTCGGAAATGGTTTCACAAGATGAGTCTGTGGTAGTTCATATCATATTTCGCCTTTACAATAACTCCTATTCGCCTCTTGAGCATAAGAGAACACTGCACATTTTCCGTCGCATGCACAATATCTAGAGTACAAATAGTGATGCAACATGCGGTGTGCACATTGCTGGCATGATAATATCGTGCATGCATTGCGCGGAATGGCTACGTTTGAGCCATACTTCAGATAGCTTAAAATGGCTGTTTTAATAGGGCCCGTTTCAATTACAGTGGGTTTTTACCGTCAGTTTGTACTGCTTTTTTATCTCCAGCACGGTAGCGCGAGCGAGACGCCATTAAGCACGCAATATTTAAGTGTCGCTCTTCCAAAACCGCGGATAGCAAACTCGTGGAATTATGAGAACTGGGATCTATGGAAGCATTAGTGACTCTGCATGACTCTGCTCAGGCTTTTGAAAACTTGTATATGTGGATGCCTTCAAAATCGCACCAAGAAGTGTCCTCCCCAATCTGGCTTGTGTAGTTGGTACACACACAGGAAATCGACAGGTGATTATTGGCAGTTATCCACCTGACATAAAAACAAATTGCTCGCCAGTTAGATCTATTTACTTCATTTGCCCTCGTTGTTTTTCCATGCCGTGTGAGTTTGGACGTTGTACATTTGTTATTCGTTTACGTACAATGCCGAACAGAATGGTGACAATCGATGCGCAGTAAGCGGCATTAGACCACGAGATGGGCGGTCGGGAGCGCGCTTACCTAGCGCCGGTGGAAATCATAGTCGTTTGGGATTGCTGTCCTCACGTCAGTGCTCTTGGCACGCTTTTGTGACGCTTTCCGTCATCTTCCCCTTCGGGAAGAAACCTGGTGGTCTTAGGTCTGGGGAAGGTTGGGACCATTCACTCACGTGAAAGCGCCGGCCAGCCTTCTGTTCTCTGAGACGTCTTGCAAAACCACTCTCGCGTCCCTTTAGATTTGCGAGACGACGTCTCATTCTGCAGAAGCTGTCGCTTGAGTTTCGTTTATGCTTATTTTCCGCTCAGCAGCAGGCAAATTTCTGGAAGCATCTCAGTCTACTTTGAGATTGAAAAACGATGCGTGCGGCAGGCGCTTCATTAATCGGCTGTCATGGACGGAAAATCAACTCAGGCGCGCAGAAAACTTACACTGGTCTGCAAAACCGGTTACTCAAAATACTCAGACGCTGTGGTTGACAGTGATTTCGAGAAGCAACTCGAGCGATGGTGTTCGGTATTTTCGAATTTTTTGGGCGGTTGAAACCAAGAGCGGCTGCATTACTTTATGACGCTCTGAACTACCATGTGTCATTAGTGTCTCCATCCATGAAGTTTTGATCGTGGAGAAACCGAAACGCAACCAAGCGTTGAGCTTTGAGCCAATAACCTTTCGTCCATGAGACCGACACTCCACCCATCCCTGAGCGCACACTGAACATCTCCACCCATCCCTGAGCGCACTCTGAACATCACCACCCATCCCTGAGCGCACTCTGAATATCTCCACCCATCCCTGAGCGCACTCTGAGACCTCCACCCATCCCTGAGCGCACTATGAACATCTCCACTCATCCCTGAGCATACTCCAAACACCTCCACCCATCCCTGAGCGTACTCTGAATATCTCCACTCATCCCTGAGCGTACTCCGAACACCTCCACCCATCTCTGAACATCTCCACCCATACCTGGGCGTGCTCTGAACACCTCCACCCATACCTGAGCGTGCTCTGAACACCTCCACCCATCCCTGAGCGTACTCTGAACACCTCCACCCATCCCTGGGCGCACTCTGAACACCTCCACCCATCCCTGAGCGTACTCTGAACACCTCCACCCATCCCTGAGCGTACTGTGAACACCTCCACCCATCCCTGGGCGCACTCTGAACACCCCCACTCATTCCTGAGCGCACTCTGAGCACCTCCACCCATCCCTGAGCGTACTCTGAGCATCATCATCCATCCCTGAGCGCACTCTGAATATCTCCACCCATCCCTGAGCGCACTCTGAAGACCTCCACCCATCCTTGAGCGCACTCTGAACATCACCACCCATCCCTGAACACACTCTAACCACCTCCACCCATCCCTGAGCGTGCTCTGAACATCTCCACCCATCCCTGAACGTACTCTGAGAGGTGATTGTTGGAGGCCTGCACAAAGCCGCTGATTAGATACACCCGGCCACAGGCGGTGTCGAAGGCTCCTGTACGCTGGCATGGCCTCTCTCTTGCTTCTCCACGGCATCAAGACTTACCATCGCAACCAGGACTGGCGCAGCGAGTACAGCATCTTCATGGCCGGCTTGCGCGTGAACCGCAACAACGCGAAGCTCTACAACAACGTAGGGCACGCGCTGGAGAGTCAGCAGGAGCATCAGACGGCGCTGCTGTTCTTCCAGCAGGCTTCAAGGTAACAGTACGGAGAGCATAGCGCGGCGGCCGTCGCCGGGCTGTTGTGTTTGTTTTTCCAGCCGGCTCTGATGGCGTTCTGCGCAAGACGGAGATAAAGCGTGGTATGGGAATGTGGTCGTGAAATTTCGAGCTTTTGGAAACAGGCAGTTCATGCAAATATCTACCGACGGAAGTAGTTAGCTTCGTTTCTGTGTTGTACCTTTTTGCTGTTGCAGCTTTTGAAGGCTTTGACAATTTTTTTGCAAATTCTTGGATGTGCTGGAATAGCCAAGCAGACATCGCCCCACACAAATCTTGATCAGGCTACAGTACATTGGATTTGTTTGACCAGTGGGACTATGACCGTGGGAGCGCTGATGCCTGCTCCTGCAATGACCCAGGGAGCCATGAGGCCTGCTCCTGCAATGACCGTGGGAGCCTTGAGGCCTGCTCCTGCAATGACCGTGGGAGCCATGAGGCCTGCTCCTGCAATGACCGCGGGAGCCTTGAGGTCTGCTCCTGCAATGACCGTGGGAGCGATGAGGCCTGCTCCTGCAATGACCGCGGAAGTCTTGAGGCCTGCTCCTGTAATGACCGTGGGAACCATGAGGCCTGCTCCTGCAATGATCGCGGGAGCCTTGAGGATGCTCCTGCAATGTTTTGCAGGAGCAGCTCGCAGCAGAGTTTCAGCCCTCCCTAGCTCAACTCTTGAGCAAAGTTAAAATGAGTCACTGTAGATGTAGAAAAGTTGATCAGCTTTTGAAAACGTAGCACATATATATTAAAGCATGCTGATGTGGTCGAAAACCAATAGGCTTATGATTTTTGGTTTCCATTGGGCTTTTTTCCAAAGCCTGGATTTAGTTTTTGCCCGTGAATCCATGTCTTACCGAGCAATGTGGAACGTCGATATTGCGAAGGATTTGTTTGGAAGCATTTCAAAATGTTTCAGAATACTAAAACACACATGGTGAGCCTTTAAGAAAATGTCGGATAAGCCTATTCGTAGCGCGGACTTTCTCCACGGAATCTATTGAAAGTGAGATCGATCAAAACAAATGTGATATAGACTTGTTTGAGAATGTCAGAATGGTGATTGGTGTATTACGAACCAAGGTGTCATTTGGACACTTATAATGTGCCCGGGTGACCGGTTGAATACCCCTCGCTGGGTAGGGGGCAATTTGATACCCCGTGAGATCTAAAAAAACTGTGACAGCAAGAGACACTTAACCCACAGGGCATGTCAGCCTGCTTGTGACTGTGCTTTTTTAAATTTTAGATGTGTAGATCATGACCTCGGGACAAAATAAGGTCAAACAAGGTCAAACCCCAGATTGGTGTTCAAAGTGCCCCCAGATTTCCTTATGCAACCGCCTTGAACCTAGATGCTTGTTCTAAGGAAAAAAGTCAATGAACTTAAGGCCAGGGTCCTTTTCAGACTTTAAGAAGGTCGAGATGACCATGAACCCACAAGATTGCTTCTATTTTTCCATTTGAATAAAGATCAGGGATTACGCTAGGTGATATGTTCCTAAAACTAAAATGTTGACATAGGTCATTTTAGGTCAGCCACCTAATCTGACCTTAAACAAGTCCTTCGAACATGTCCATTGCGGCCCGGTTATTAATCAATGCGGAATGAGCACCGGAACCTACCCCATAAGGTGAGCTTTCGAGTAGCAAAGTAGGTTGGCTTTTACCTTTGTCTGACCTTTATACTTGGTCCTAGGTCAACTGAAGCTGTTGTTATTATAGTTTCAATTGTTTTATTAGCTAAGAAGCTACCTTAAATATGTATGACTTCGCCTAACACTCCGTTGTAGCAGCAGATGATATTGTTCCTTAGAAATTGTCTTCGCTGAGAGCCACGACCTGACTTTGACACGGTATAGGTCAGTGACCTTTCAGGGCACGTCTCAATTTGTATTGCAAAAGATCCGCTTCAATTGCCCATGCCTATGCAAAGTTTGGCGCGGCTGCGCCACGCCGTTCGGAAATCATTCTGCAAACCTTCGGGGGGGGGGGGGATCAAACTGACCCCCACTCACCCGGAAGCGTGTTAATAACAATAACAGTCACGGGCGTAAATATTTAGCATTGCGTATAGACTGTAATAGAGGCTTAATTCATAGAGATTAGACTAGGGTTTGAAGAACATTTACTTCACGGCGGCGAGTTTCAGTAGAAATGTAGCTTGCATCATGGATGAACGTGCTTTGGAATCTGTATTAGTATGAATGCTTATTTGGTGCAGGAATACGATTATTGCTTAACAAAAGCTCCTGTAAGCCGCTGAATACAATAGTGGGAGCTGTAAATCATGATTTTGGCATGACATCGGCATAAATCACATGCGTCAGTGTTTAACACGAACCCATAACGTCAAAACATTGTATTTTGACGTTGCGGGTCCGTGGCAACCACGCCAGGTATGCTATATAAAGTAAGGTGCCTGATAACCATCCCGCCTTGAGGCAGCGCTTGGACTCAGCAGCTTCACCGAAACGGTGTTTCAATAACCCCTTTGCGATTAATGCAGGCATACAGTTTTCAACGTTTCATTCTCCGCATCACTCGTACAGGATCGGAAGGCTTCTCGGAGGGACGGGGACAGTCATGAAGCCGGCCGTGGTCAGGAACTCCACCCTCCAAACCAAACATGACCATTAGGCCGGGCGGGCCTGAGGGCTGAATGCGGACCCGGACCGGCCCGACGCGCCGGCCGGCCGGCCCGCATTGTTGACCGGATCTGGGGAGGGGGGGGGGGGGGGGGGGGGCGGGGGACAGTGTGTATCGCCCGGCCAGGTGGCGTAAGCCGCCGTTTTCCCCCGGAACGGCCATAAAGGTGGCCCCTTCCTCCGAAGTGGACCATCACGCCAAAGGGGGACGCCTGCCCTCTGCCGGCCGAACGAGGTTAATGGATGCGGGATGCCCGATCACCGGCGAGACAGCGCTCCATGTGTCGGAGGTGTTCGCTGTTCCTCTCGGGAACCCGGCCGCGCCGACGCCGCCGTCACCCCAGTTGGCATCAGAAGCGCCACGCCACGTGGGCACTGGGCCGGAGAGGGCACGGAGGACCTGCCCGAGGCGAGAGTGGGTGGGCCTTACACAGTCGCCGAGCCCTTGAAGCAGCGCAGGCCGGCCCGGCAACACATTGGAGGAAGGGGTCGTGGCGGCAAAACTATTGGTCCATGCGCAAAAAACGAAGGCGGGCCGACCCTGTTGGAAGAGTCACGGTAAATGACAGATTGTGCAAATAGGAGTCTACTTCAGGGAATCAACGGGGAGAGTCCCGAGGAGGAGCCAGCGGAGGGGGGAGGGAGAGGTGTCTCCGAGAAGGGGTGCTAGGGAGGACACCCGGCACATAACGCCGCGCCTCGAGGACGGCTCTCCGAGACCTCAACTCTCATCACCTGGCGGCGATATCTGGCCTCGCAGACAGCGGAACGCCCGACAACGCGTGCGAGTCCACGGGCTGTTATCTCCATCCTCACGGGGCCATGGACGACCAGCGCTCCCGCGTCCCTTGACCCCTCCCCAGCGGCTGGGCGCGGGCCACGGCCACCTGTTCCCTCTTGTGCACTTAGGGAAGGGGGAACACTGGCCGCACGACCCCTCCGGCCGGGCAATGCGTCCCTGGCGTACTGCATAATTAAGGAAGGGAGAGGGGCCACGCACTTCGGCACGGGACCGCGCAAAGCGATGAACTGTTGTGGTCCATGCGTGTGAGTGATTTTGTAACTACAAGTGACGGTCTGCGCTTTAACAGTTAAGCGTGGAAGCGAGGCTGGAGGTGATTCGACCAGGCGGCGAAGGGCACTCGTGCCCGGCGTGGGTGGGCACAGTGTCCGTGGCCCGTGGTGACGCGTACTTCGGCGCGGCGGCTCACTCGTTGGCCCGCACCGAAGCTATCTTGATTTTGCCGTTGGAGGCGGCCACGTGTAGGCGCAGCGGCTCGTCATGGACCTCGTCTGTCCCGCGCCGCGGCCAGGCGCGGCGTACGCCACCAGATCCATGAAAGTTTCCTTTTGCTGTGACGTTAGCCTTGGCTGGCTTGACGGTTTGAATTCTCTCGTTCTCTTTATTTATTTCCGATTGTTCGAGGCGGTGGTACCCTTGCCGAACCATGTGCAGCACAAGCGGACGGACTTCACCATGCGCACGCTGTCTTCTCCCTCTGCGTTATCGCTTGTCGGACCCGGATTATTAACTGATTTTGGATGGCATTCGTGCGCGTATTTTTGTTTTTCTGTTTTATCGTTATGTTTTTTTAGTAGCTGATCACCTCGTGTACACGGAGCATTTTGCTTTGCCAGGGTCAACTTCCGCCTGACCGTCAGACTTTCGTCTGATAAGCAACATGGCGTCCGTTCCTGACAATGGAATCGTATAGTGGCCATAATTAAAGGATGCTTGGCTCGGAACGCGCCTGAGCAGCACGGTTTGACTGCGGCACGGTCAATGAGTCAGACGACCGAAGTCCTGCTTTTACGTAAATATATGTTTGTAGGTAACGCGACTCAAAGGCACGGTTTCGCTTTTCTGGACTGAGAGATGGTCGACTGGTTTTGCTGTCTCTCTGCTGACCTCAGGCGGGACGGCATGAAGAGGCGTAGGTCATGGTATGACCGAGGACAAGTGGAGACCGCCCGAGACCCCAGATTATGCACGGCGGTAGCTGTGCCTATCCGTTGGTGTACCATGCTTTGAGAGAAAACAGGACACAGCCTGTTCTCTTCTGACATGGTGTATGCCAGGCCTTATAAGCTCTTGATGGCGGGATGTTCGGGACGGATAGAGGTCCCGCCATCGACGCTCATGGGAAGGGCGACAAGGAACTGGGTCAAGCAGTCTCCAGAAAGTCAAGCAGTCTCCAGAGCGCGCCGGTCGTGGAGACCGTAAGGCGTGAACGCAGGTCACGCCGGGCACTCGCTGTCTGCCGAGGGGCTCCATGATCCCATCCGGCGCACTGTCTGCCTCCAGGCCTCTGAGAGACGTGCCATAGGGGTGGTGCCTTGCAAAGTTTACTCCGGTAGGCGGCAGGCGGGGGCGCAGAAGCGCCGCGGGCGACGTCTCCGTGCTGGACGGGGCGCTGCCTAAGGTGCGTGCGCAGCAGCGGAAAGCTGCGAGCGGTGGCCGCGGCCGAAGGAGTTGTGCGCCGCCCGCTGCGGACGAGACGCAGGGAGCGCCGTCCGAATAGACAGCCGTCACCCTGGAGGTCAGGCGACGGAACGAGGCGCCGTTCAGCTCCGGACACCGGATGCCGGACCGGTAGCTGCGTCGGTGCCAAGGTGATGAATTAACCTGACATGTTTTGAATAGGGAATGCACGTGGCTTCATTAGGTGTTTAAATGTATGAACTAAAATTAGTTCAGCTTAACGAGGATTCGCGCAGACGTGCCAATTACAATGCCAACGCGTTGGATAGGACGGGGGGGGGGGGTCCCACCCGTGTGCGAGCCAAGAATGAGTGGGGCGACGTGGGCGCCAGCGGATGCGTATGCTTGGAATGAGTGTGGTGGGGCGCCGAATGCATGAAGTCTATGTGGATCAATAACGGCCGAAGGCGGTTCCCAGGGCTGCTATTCAGCGGGCCCTTGTCAATGTAATTCCTCAGTATCACGGGATCCCTGCCAGTTATGCGTATTATCAATGCATCTGGTCCCGTTTTTTGCCCCGTTGGAATATAATCGTCCGCCAAAAGGTGGAGGTGCAGTACCGGGGTTAAGGACGCACAGCCACGTACGGGGAGACAGCCGTTCATGGAACCTGACCGAATCTACCATCCGCCAATACCCCGGTCACCCGCTTCATCCTAGCTCTGTGGCTCACATGAGTGCGTGTTGATGGATGTACTGGAGTCACAACGTGAGCCGTGCGCTAGCATCATCTGGCTCGTATGCTGACCAGTGAGCTCCCCAGTATAAATTCGCTCTTGCGGGGAGGCGTGACAGCGGCAGCCGGCGGCGCACAAACATGTAGCGGCAGCCGGACTGCGGCGCAGCGCACTCATCTCCACCATGAACTCCATCCCCCCAAATGTACATCAATGGGTTTGTGCTCAGATACACTCAAAGCACAGGTGCTCCAAAATGCGAAGGCGACGATGTATTATACACATCGCGGCGGCATATATATATATATATATATATATATATATATATATATATATATATATACGCAATGTATTTTGTTCCACATACGAACAAAAATACACCGTGGCGTCGAAGTATTCAAACGTCATGAAACAATCGATCGCAGACTGGCGACCATTTCCGTGCAATCCACCTGCGCTGTTTCGGACGCCATCACGACCGATTTGACAAACTTTGTCAGATGGACTGCGTCTGACGAGAAGTGTGACGCTCTCCGGAACTATCCAAACGCTACGGACCGACTGAAGACGGCCACTTCGGGAATTCCGTCCGTTCGAAAGCTACTTATTAGAGCAATAGATTGTCGAAGCCGCTCCGATTGTCCACACGGCGAGATGAGAGTGGCGACTTGTCTTCCGTATTGGCCCTTTATGTCACACTCTTTTGTAGGCAGGACGGAACACATTCGGTGGGACGGGGTCATCCGATCGCTGTTCTGAACTGGAGTGCAGCCAGCGGCTCTGGAGACTTCACGGACTGCGGTGTTCCGTATCTAATAGCATCGGTGTCTGTGTGATAATGATGTGTGAGGAGTAAACTAGGGCAGTAATACGAAAGGGAAATAGATGAGAAATTAACGTGATAATGCTCTGAGACCTTAATTAGTATTAGTTCTGATTTGGTTCTGAATGCGAGCATGGCGCCACGAAGCACGCCGGTTGATCAAATGGTGGAAGCTTTTTAGAGAGCTTTTAAGTTCAGCGACGCAACCGTAGTTCGCCTTTTCCTTCCAAGGAACTTTGAACTAACAAACCCCTATGATCAGAGGTCATCAGTTTCGCCCAAACGCGAGCTCTTTTGAAATTCCCTGCCGCGTGTGAGGTCCTAAGCCGTTCTGATATCTGTCCATTACACGACAGCAAGGTGGGTCGGCAGTCCGGAGAACTGACTGTCCGCGAATTCACGCCCAGCCTGTGAGCGTTGGCGGGGTCGTGACCCCATGACCGGTTCGCTGTCGACCTGGCCCCCTAGGGAAGGATAACACTGGTAACGCAGGGTGAATTCGGACCGTGTGCTGGACTGAGGGTGGATGGCGGATTTGTTGAGAATCTGTGGTAGTGCCTGGGTGGGAGCGATATTTACGACGCATTAAAAAATACTGCGCCGTGGCTCGAGGGCAGGTGGCAATCTCATGGTCGAGATTCACAAAGAAGCCAGGGAACTGTTGAAAAGTGTTATCAGCGCGTACTCTGTATGTCTGACTGAGGAGAGATGGTATTTGTGCTCACTGCAGGCCTCTGTAAAGTTGAAAATTAATGGGACGATGGGTTGATGTCAGTGGGCGTAACTTTGTCGCCACCGCGGCGAAGTTAGCCGATGCCGGCGCGGGGTCGGCGGGGCGGGTGCGGGACGCCGTCGTCGGCGATGCTCAGCCCGCCGCCGACGGCGTGTCGGACTCAGCGCTGCCGGCAGTTTCCGCCCAGCGCGACAAGTTCGCCGGCCGCCTGTCGCCGCGTCCCTTCCACCAACCAAACTTGGACAAGTGTGCCATTTGGCGGCAAAGTTTTCTAAAAACGGCGTGAATATTTTAGCGTAGGATCACAGGCGGCGCCGCGTGGCTGGACTTATGGCGGGGCAAGGGCTGCAAGGCGACCGTTGGGCGTGTCGGAAGAGCTAGTGCGATCTGGCCGTGTCCCGTTTGCCGATCTGTCCGGGGCAGGAGGACGGGTGGGGATGAGGGAGGGGGTGGAGCAACGAATCAGACGAGATGACGACGACAAGCCTTGAGTCTTGTTGATAGAGCAGTGGGTTTGCTTGCACGCATGACTCAGGCAGACCGCACTGGTGATATGCTGAGAAGAAGGCTATATGGCGTGTGAAGGAAGGCGCCTGCGGTGACGAGCTGGCACGCCGAACGGTGCCTCCGGCGATCCCGATCGACCAGCCGCTGGAGCTGTGCGCTGTCCTGTTCGCCGATACAGGACCTGCGAGTGCTGTGACCTGACCAGGTCACGCCTGTGGCGCAGGGTACAGGAGGACGACATCGGCGCCTACATGAACGTGGGCCGCACCTACAGCAGCCTGCAGAAGTACGCCGAGGCTGAGCAGGCCTATCTGAAGGTGAGAGGGCGCGGCCACCTCGGCGTCGGCTTCCCCGAACCGCCGCTCACTAAAATAACCCCAGCGTTTCATTTTAGACCACTTCTGCTGAAACATGCATGGGCGTTTCAGCCATTAACTATCGTTAACCCGCCAACCAGACGCGTTAAACGGACCTGAAGAGTATTTGCCGGTGCAGTATCTGGGCTGCGAGTGGCAGCCCGTGAACCGTCCGTTGCTGTCGGCACCCGGAGAGGTACGGGTGTCGGCGGCCGGTCATGCCTCTTACGCCGGCCTCATCGGCGCGCTGATCAACAACAGTTGACTGCTCAACAACAGCAATACAGACGAGCTGCGCAGTCTTCGGCTGTTGAAATCGTCCTAGCGCGATCTCTCACGACACAGGCCAAGTTTGGCCAACGCAGGCTCACGTCTTTGCCTCCCTGTACCCCTTCTCCTCCCCCGCCCGCAGGCGAAGTCGCTGCTGCCCCAGGTGAAGCCGGGGGAGGTGTACGAGGCTCGCGTGGCGCCCAGCCACCTGAGTGTGCTGCTCAACCTGGCCGGTCTGGTGGCGCGCGACCCGGCGCGGCTGGAGGAGGCGGACGCCCTCTACCGGCAGGCCATCAGCATGCGCGCCGACTACACGCAGGCCTACATCAACAGGGGCGACGTGCTCATCAAGCTGAACCGCACCAAGGAGGCGCAGCGCACCTACGAGACGGCGCTCTTCTACGACAGCAACAACCCCGACATCTACTACAACGTGAGTGTTTGCTGTGTAGCGATCAGATGTGGCAAGGATGGCGCGCTATACATCGGCTTCGCCGCAACGGCGGTGTGTTCTGTGACTACGTTTATTTGGATATTTCGTTTTGGTCTCAGAGAATGTCCCAAAATGTACAAAATTTTCATCTGAATTACTTTGTACTGTGACGATATAAACATTTTAGCTATGCCATGCAGCTATGCTGAGCGCAAAGCTATAATGATGCTGCCAAGTATCTCCAATGTTTCTATCTACCGCAAAAAAAATAAAGAGCAGCAGGCTTAGAAAAGCTTTAAAAAATAAGTAGATGATTATTTCCAATATGTTGTATCGCTCTTCATCAGCTTTCATGATGATCCCGTTTCGACGGAGCGTAGCCAAATGTTTGTTGAGCTTTTAGTCCCAAGACCCAGGTGGAACAAGGCACTACCAGCGTCGGTAATGCTCACCAAGATTCCAAAGCCGACTTTTTAGGCATCTCAGAGATGTTCTTTTGGCATCGTGTGTAGCTGACCCACTGATTAGTCTATTTACATTATACATATAATATGGTTATATTTACACCCACTGTGCAATTGACCCCCGCGCTCGAAGCTGGGAAGGGCTCCTTGCGCTCCGCCTGTCCCCGCAGCTGGGCAGGGCTCCTGACTTCCGGCCTTTCACCGCAGCTGGGCAGGACTCCTGACCCTCCGCCTGTTTCCGCAGCTGGGTATCGTGTACCTGGAGCAAGGGGCGGCAGGCGCAGGCGCTCGCCTACCTAGACAAGGCGCTCGAGTACGACCCGGACCACCAGCAGGCGCTGCTGCAACTCGGCCGTGCTCATCCAGGAGCTGGGCAGCGGCCAGCTGCGGCCGCGGGCCTACCAGCGGCTGCGGCGGCTGCTCCAGCTGCAGCCCACCGTGGTGGACGCCGAGCGGGTCCACTTCAACCTGGGCATGCTGGCCATGGACGACCAGGACCTGTTGACCGCAGAGACGCATTTAGAAAGGTGCGGAGGATGCTGTTAGGGCCCCGAGCGGCTTATGGCGGCCGGGGGTGCGGGAGCGAGCGGGAGGGTGGGGGAGGCTAGAGGCTGGGATAGCCTACGTGCTGTGAGGCAGAGCGCTACTGCCACGGATTTTCGTAAATGCTTGTAACTTCCCACATGTTGACGGGGGCGATGGTGCAGAAAGCTGCGTCTAGTACTTTTTTCGTAAGTCTCGATATTGGCACGTCGTTAACTGTCAGAAACATTGCAGCTAAGGTCTGACTATTCCCTGGTGACGAATGTGCCGGTTGGTGGAAATCAGTGACGGCATATCACTGAACGGCAGCCGGTGATGGCAGCTGGGCAGGGTACAGCATAGCCTGCTGTGCCCTGCGTGACAGCAGACCAGTTGCACCCTGCTGTGCTGTATCCCGCTTGATAGCAGAGGAGCTGTACCCTGCTGTACCCTGCATGACTGCAGACCAGCTCCTGCCAGCCTGCCCCGATTTCGCGGTGGTGATGACTGCAGACCAGCACCTACTAGCCTGCCTCGGTGCCGTGATGGTGATGACTGTAGACCAACACCTACTAGCCTGCCTCGGTGCCGTGATGGTGATGACTGCAGACCAGCACCTGTTAGCCTGCCCTTTTGCCGTGGTGGTGACTGCACACCAGCTTCTGCCTGGCTGCCCTGGTGCCGTAGTGGTGATACCCTCCGTGACCCGTCGCTGCCGCAGGCGATCGAGCTGAAGCCGGACTTCCGGAGCGCGCTGTTCAACCTGGCGCTGCTACTGAGCGACGCGGACCGGCCGCTGCAGGCGGCACCGTTCCTTCACCGGCTGGTGCGCCACCACCCGGACCATGTCAAGGCGCTCATCCTGCTTGGACACATCTACGTCAACAACATGAACGACCTGGACGAGGCGGAGCGGGTAGGTGGGCCTCCGTAGCTTCAGTCGGCTTGGACTAGGCGGAGCGGGTAGGCCGGCTACACCTCATCCAAGTAGCCGGCAGATATTGACGTCCGCGGTCGCAAAAGGTCTCTCCGTCACAGCCCCCTCCCCTCCCCCCCCCTTTCTCCCGGTAACAGGCACCCCAGTGGGAGGGAATGGTGTTGGCCGCTGCGTGACTCACAAAATGGAAGAATCGTCAGCGCTGCCGTCAGACGGAGCCGAATGCTCAACCTGGGAGCACAAGTTGTGAGGCACCTGGCCGTGCAAGATGTGCGGGCTCATCTGGCCGGGGTGTGCAATACCTCTGATGGCAGTGACATATTGGCCTTGTAATGCCGGCAGCTTATCTTGTTTATGTAAGAGTACTATTTCATTTGTCCGTTACTCTGCGGCGCATTTTGTCGAAGTGGCCCCTAAGATCCCTGTTGGTGCTCGGCTCTCTTAAGTTCCACCTCGGAAGCGGGAGCGTGGATTTGACTGCTTTTGGGGTGGCCTGCCTCCCCCTCCCGAAGAAAACAGGTTGGAATTAGGACTATGGCGATGCACGGAATGGATCGCTTCAAAAATGTTCATGTATTTTTGTTGAGACCCCCATTTTGTGGTGTCACCACGACTCCCAAACGCATCGACTAGTAATGAACATTGGACAGTACAGTCTTCTCGGTCACTTCCTAGCTGACGGCCATTTCCGCCAATCTCACACATCACACCTCACACTTAACATCTCGCCCCACCTCACAGTGTTACCAGCGGATTCTGCAGCTGGAGCCGGACAACGTGCAGGGTCTGCACAACCTGTGCGTGGTGTACGTGGAGCGGGCCGAGCTAGCCAGCGCTGAGGCCTGCCTGCTGCGCGCCGCCCGGCTAGCACCGCACGAGGAGTACATACAGCGCCACCTGAAGATTGTGCGCGCGCGCCGCCTCGCGGCAGCGGCCGGAAGCACGCCGCCCGACGGCGTCTCCTAGCGGCAGCGCCCTCGCCCGGTACGGCGGCCCTGTTCGGCGTCGGTCGCATTCGTAGGTGCCTCCGTCGACCAAAGAGTTGATCTATGTAATCATGGTTTATAACAATAGAGAGGGGGAGTGGGAAGGATCGTCCGTCCGTGGTGTTAGCGTGGTATGTCAGCTTTACCTCATTAATTGCTGAATGATACATATGTTATTGCTCTCAAAGCGACATGAGTGTTGCAGTTTGGATGGTTCGTAATTAAATCAAAAATTGAGTGGAATTGATTGGAGAATAGCAGGATTGCCTCGTCAACAGACGCGGCAGTGACATGCGTCGATGAGTGATCGATGTTGCATATACCGTCGTCCTCTGCCCGCTGGCTTCACTAGGCGAAGCGCCATGCGTGCCTGTAATATCCGGTCCGCTCTCGCTGTCTGACCAAACACTACGAGAGGCGTTACTGTCAGTATTTCCCCCAAGGCCTCGGTAATCACAACAATAAAAATAGCATAACGTTTGACGCAGACCGACCCGGTCGCGTCCACCGCCACGCACGCCACAGCACCAAACCCCAAAACCCACAACAGGGACAAGCTCTGGCGCAACTGTGCCAATTGCCTGGTGCGCAGGCGCGCACCTAAACAACTGCCATACACCACAGTGCCCCAACTCACTGCATCATTTGTTTCCAGGTGCTCGATGATTGGCAAGTTCTTCGATCATGAGAATGAAACCGAGCTGTGCTGAACAGCTGAACAATGGTCCCGGGAGGTAGTGAGGCGGTCGCATTCTTCTCACGTGAACCAGGAGCCGTGACGTTGAATCCCCTATGCCGAAATGGCACTGGACTCTCGGAGATTTTGCCGGACAGTGGCCTTGCGCCCCTCGGTTCTCTGCGTGTACTGAGTGTAAGGCCGGAGAGTTCTCGCCACATGCTATTTTTATATGACGTGGCCGGCTGGCGCGACTGCCTGTAATCAGGTCACAATTGTTGGCCGGACAGGGTGGTGGGGAGGGGAGGGGAGAGGCAGCATGACACCCGTACTATTGACACGAGGTCGCGTGGTGTCGGCCGGAGACGGGGCTAAGACTGTGCCTTTCCCGCCCTCCCATCCGCGACCCCCATGCTGTCGGACGCTCTCTGTCCAGCATACCGATGGATGTGCCGTGTTCGCGCAATTCTGATGTCCCTTCTTGTTGCACGTGCTGTGTTGTTGAGTGTGGGTCTCGGTCAGGTTTGGGGCCCGCTGTTGAGACAGTCTGTGGACCCTCAGCCAGACCGCCATCATCAGACCTCACAGCTGTTCTCAGTGTGAAGATGTCTTAAGCAGGTGTCATGCCACTGTACTTCGCGCGCCGTCTACTGCCTATCATCAGGCCTCACAGCTGTTCTCAGTGTGATGATGGCTTAAGCAGCAGGTGTGATGCCACTGTACCTCGCGCGCCGTCTACTGCCTATCGAGGCGCAGTGCTGTTCGCCCCGTCGGCGGCGCGCAGCCCGGCTCGAGGCTGCGTCTCCCGCTGCCTCGTATTTCAGCTTCATGCTACTTGCCCAAATGTACGTATAATTTTCATTTCATTTGCACGCACTTTGCTCAAGTTACGACAAAGCACCCTTCGCAGGCATTTGCAGCGGTCGAATGCAATCTCACGATACATGAGTAAATTTGACTGTTCACAGGTCGAGTAAGATTTTGCATGCCATCTTCGAATTGCGGGCAGAAGAAAAATTAAACAACGAAACTGCACTATGTACCTCAGCATTTGTCATTCAAAAGATGACTGCGTTACACGGGGCCACGCAGCACGAACACGTCGCCTGCCACGCCATGAGTTCCAATCAGCTGTGCAACTGTTCCGAGTACCGTCGCGTCGCCGTGCTGCCTCCCTGGACTCTGCGGCTGTCAGCTGGCGCACGGAGTCCTGTTGGAGCTGCCTTCGGCTGGTCATGAGGAGCGAGCCAGTGGCTACGTGTCCCTGCTAAACTGGAAATCTGCCGTGTTCCCACTCCGATCTGAAGGGTGTTCTGCGCTCCTGTGTTGATTTGGAGGGTCTGCTGCGCTGCCGTGCTACTCTGGAGGGCCTGTTGCGCTGACGGGCTACTCTGGAGGGTCTGATGCGCTGTGTTCCCTTGCTAGCTGGAGATTCTGCTGTGCTCTCTTGCTGGACTGCGTGGTTCGTTGGGGCGGTGCTGTGTTCCCTGTTCAAGGGCTCTAGTATGACATTTCTCGTCCCCCGGCCAGATGCGGTCAGGGTAGCGCTGTTGTGCCGTGCTGTGCTGTGCTGTGCTGTGCTGTGCTCTCTCCTGCTTGTCTCTCTGCTCTGTGTGCGAGTTTTGCGCGTCCTGGAGTGGCGTCTATTGTCGCGCAGCGCGCCGAAAACAATGTCGACAACGGTGAGGATGCCGACAATAATGCTAATGATGATGCTGATGATACTGTTTTGGATCCAGAGTCTTCGCACGAGCTAATGAACATCTGTGATAACATGAATACATATGGTACGTTTCACGTCGTTATCAGACTTTCACATGTGAAACGGAAAGGCACGAAGACTGAATGGAAACCGAACGGGACGGCTTTAGCTGTGATGCTTCTCTCAAAATGTTGCGTCAAAATATAGGGATTTGATTGTTTTTTGAGCATGGGGACTGAGCATCAGAAACGCTTACGGCACCAGCTTTTACATCGCTTACACCGGGGTCGCATGTCATTATCCTATTCCAGGAAAGCTTAGACGAACGCCAGACAAGCTGGCACACAGTCTCAGATATATCCAGCATAGGTTCGGATTAAGCTGGGTCTGGGCCTCCATGCACTGAGTTGCGGGCAATGACCTGATGACGAGTCCTGCCGCGTGTATTCTCTATAAATACGCAGCCCGTTTAGGTCACAGTTACTACGGAAAAGCGCCGCCGATGTGGCCGCGGCGACTCCGTTTCGCCCAACCGTCCACAGCTGAGGCTGGCTCATGTCCGCGAACGGCACCCGCGTCACTGTGACCCAGCACGGCCGAATGCCCGTGGCTCGTGACTGGCTGTGAAGATGCCGTCGCTCGCCGCCATTGTCGCCCGCTGGCCGGCAACGGCACGCCCCGGCCGCGCCGCGCCGCACCGCAATGAATAGCGCCATCGGTTCGCGTTTCTCGCGCGATCGGACCAACTCACTGGGACGGGAGATAGGGCGGTGGGTCGCGCCAGATGCTCCCCACGAACGGCCGCCGCCCGCCCCAATACCGGACGTAATAACGGAGCGGGGCCGCGGCCGCCGGCGGCGCCCGGGCGCCCGCTGGCCGTGAGAGGCCGAGGTGCCGGGCTCGCGGTGGACGTAAGAGGCTGAGGTGCCGGGCGCCCGCTGGTCGTGAGAGGCTGAGGTGCCGGGCGCCCGCTGGCCGTGAGAGGCTGAAGTGCCGGGCTCGCGGTGGACGTGAGAGGCTGAGCTGCCGGGCGCCCGCTGGCCGTGAGAGGCTGAGGTGCCGAGCGCCCGCTGGCCGTGAGGGGCTGAGGTGCCGGGCTCGCGGTGGACGTGAGAGGCTGAGGTGCCGGGCGCCCACTGGGCGTGAGGGGCTGAGGTGCCGGGCTCGCGGTGGACGTGAGAGGCTGAGGTGCCGGGTGCCCGCTGGCCGTGAGGGGCTGAGGTGCCGGGCGCCCGCTGGCCGTGAGGGGCTGAGGTGCCGGGCTGGCGGTGGCCGTGAGAGGCTGAGGTGCCGGGCGCCCGCTGGCCGTGAGAGGCTGAGGTGCCGGGCTCGCGGTGGACGCACCGGGCCGCTGCATTGGGAACACGCGCGAAACGTAATGTAAGGCTGCACCGGGACAGCGCGGAGGGGAACATTAAAACACCTCACGGGACACATGACAATAAACATGTGGTTGTGTGGGGACGTGTGCGGGAAGCCACACTTGGCTGCGTGTGTGTGGCCACATTCGTGGCAGGCAACAAGATGGATGTGTGGACGCGTGCGGCAAGCAGCGGACCGCAATACTGGAGATGTACACATGTCTCATCAATGAGTGCGAACGGAAATATCTTGCGCACAAGCGTCGCACGAAAGTCAACAGCGCGCGGACTGGCTCTGAACAAACTCCAACGAGAGCGGATGCCGCTGATAGGCAAGGCCAAAACGGTACTGAAGTCACGCAACTCATTCTCACCTTGAGACTGACTGCCTCTCCCTCCCCCATCCCATATGTTGTCTTATATTAGAACCAAACCGTCCTATCTGGTGCTGAATTTGACGACTCACGATCTGACATCTCCTGACACAATCTGAGAGGCATACGTTGCGCGATGACGGCTCGGGGCTTGGTCAGTGGGCGGTATGTAAGCGCTGACTGCTGTGTCCTCAGAGATGTCCAATTATAAGCAGAAGATAACATGCCTCCTGCTAATAAAGCCGACGTCTGGCCATTTTCTTGTTTTGTGCTACGACGTAACCAGATAACAAAATACAAATGCAAATACTAAGTAGCAATTCCACAGGTATGTTTAAGGGTTCATTCATATAGGTGAACTAAGTTGGATAAGCAACAATGTTGATGCCACGGTAAATCAACGTTTGTTGCGGTGTTGAAATCGATGCATGTTGTCCCGCATGAAAGCTATAGCCCATTGCCGACGTTGTAATTGATGTAATATGCACAAACATTGCACAGGGTGATAATACATTGCCGGGGGTACATTCAGGGAGGTATATGAGCGAGAGGACGGATGTCCAGAGGAAGGCCTCGAGTCGGCCCAAATGACTGGTTATGGCCGACAGTATTGGCCACGATGGCTCAGAGTCGGCACACGTCACTGGTTATAGCCGACAGTATTGGCCACGATGGCTCAGAGTCGGCACACGTCACTGGTTATGGTCGACAGTATTGGCCACGATGGCTCAGAGTCGGCACACGTCACTGGTTATTGCCGACAGTATTGGCCACGATGGCTCAGAGTCGGCACACGTCACTGGTTAT